AGTCTGCGGTTCTGCTGACACTCGTCCACGTCTGCAAGGGGAAGGAGAGGAGGGTAGACTCCTGCAGCCGTGGGCAGCCTTTGGGGCTGGGGCTGGGTGTGTTTCCTGGACCAGAAGCATCTATAAAGCTGTCTCCTCCCAACAAGTGGGCCTTTTCTAATTCACACAGAGGCGTCTATGGGCAAGCATGGTGGCCCAGATGCTCGGCTCTCCAGATGTGGCTGAAATGGCTGAGTCCTCCCCATCTGCCAGCTCCGGCCCCTTTGCCCCCCACCCCAGGCAGTTCCCAGTGGGGTGAGGGGCTCCTGGCTTCTTGTGTCCTGGCCCGAAGAGATGGAGCAAGGCCAGGGTGGGCCTTCCTGGGAACAAGGTCGGAAATGCTGCTTCTCCCAGGGGACTCTTGGCTTCTGTGACCTTTGGCCTGATTCCTCAGGGCAGCTGCTCTGCAGCCAAGCTCTTCTCACAATCCCGGCAACCCTGGTCCCAGGTCAGCACTTTCTCATCCATACCAACTCTGAGACTCCAGCTCCCAGGAGATGAACCAAGGCTTGCACCTGAGCCAGGGCTACGTGGGCAGGCTGTGCCCTGCACAAGGGCACCAGGCCAGGGTGGGCAGACCTGGGGGCAAGAAGGCACCTTTTCCTGATTCCCACAAAGGCACCCAGTGGACTTGGCAGGAAGTGGTTGGGTGAGAACCCACGCCTGAGTAGTGAATCCACATCTCACCCTCGCCTCCCACCAGTGGGACTCAGCCTCATTTTTGTCCTGAGCGGTCCGGCCCCCACACGTATTCTTGACCTCCTGGGAGAGACTCAGCCCGGGAAATGTCCTCTCTGCTATCTGGCCCAGACAGAGCCTCTGCTTCACCCAGCTCTCCCGGTGGGGGTCGGGGTCAGGTTAGTAAGTAAACACAATTAAGCCCCGCCCCGACCAGCATGTTCCAGAGCTGACACTCAGGCTGGTCAGTCAAAATTATTTGAGAGGGTCAGGCAGAGCCTTGGTCAGAGAAATGGGATGCAGGCTGAGCATGAAGGGGAATGGGGTACCAGCAGGCTCTTCTCCAGGCAGAGGTTGTTGGCCAGGGGACAGTGGACCTGCCCTTGAATCTCCCTCCTCCTGTGTTTTCAGACGATGCCCGGAGTCCGTCATGGCCTGAGGGTCAGAGAGGGTCCTGGGCATGGCTGAGCACTGGAGGCCCAGAGAGGGAGGCTCGTGTGGGCAGATGGGAGAGGCTGTCCTGCCCTGGCAGTCAGGTCGATGGCGGAGAGGATGGATATTGCACTGGAAGGTACCACATGGTGAGGCCGTTAAATATTTTGA